ATATATCACGAGAAAAGTTACCTGTATCTGTTGTGTCATGTTTTGGTCTACAATCCCTCCCTAACTCATGAAGACCACAGACAAAGACTGGAGTTGAACACCTCCATTTTATTCCCTTCCTAATCTAAGGTACATTTGAAGTCCCTGCCTACTGTCAGTTCTACCTTCTTCCTGTGTTCCTGTCACTGATATCTCTGACTGACTGACCTACATGTAGTTCTAGCTATTCAGGGAACTCTGTGATGCCATGTTAAGTCCTTACAAGCGACTCTGTAACAAACTGCTATTTCTGTCGCAAATTTTTGTACCACTAAAATCTAGCATCTGACCTTCTTGAAGTTGGTGATGTCTTCTCTCGTCCCAGTTCTTCCCAACACAGCAGACAGGAAGGAAATCACCTGAAGTCATAGATATAGAAAATAAACCTAAAAAACAGTTTCAGTTTCAGTTTATTTGTTGTACCAGTAATTACAACTCAGGCCATTTCGTAAAGTTGTAGCTAAGCTGACAAGTGCTCAAATTTCTATCTTTCATGTACATACATACATGTAATACCTCATGCGTGTGTTCAGCACCAAGGACAGACCTTTTCTGATATGTGGATGGTGTTCAGCACCAAGGACAGACATTTTCTAACATGTGGATGGTGTTCAGCACTATTCAGCCATTGGCCCTTGACACTGAAAGGAATGCAACAATTCAGTACAGACCTGGACAGTTTTCCCCAGCCCCATGTCGTCCCCCAGTATGGCTCCCATTCCAGCCTCGTACTGCCGATACAGGAACTTCACTCCCTCCCTCTGGTAGTCGCGCAGGTAACGGTTGATGGTAGCAGGAATCTTTAGGCAAATTAGTATGAGAGAGAGCCATGAATTTGAAACTTTTGTCAGAACATTTTTGTGGAAACAATTTTTGGGGCTGAAAATACTGACTCATTTTATATCATTATACATTGTGCCCCAACTCTTGTTACTCAAGACTTTGTGAAAGTATAAGCCTGTTTTTTACATATACAACAGGTGTTTTACCTGTACAACAGGTGTTTACCTGTACAACAGGTGTTTACCTGTACAACAGGTGTTTACCTGTACAACAGGTGTTTACCTGTACAACAGGTGTTTACCTGTACAACAGGTGTTTACCTGTACAACAGGTGTTTCTCCTGCAGGTGAGAGAACAAAGGGCTCCTTCTTCCCCACAAGAGAGTGGTTCCTGAAGAAAGGCTTCTCGTAATCTTCATCACTGAAACCTGAAACACAGTGGAGAAACATGGCAATGTTTCGGAAACATTGATGGCTTGTGAGGTCTAAATGAAAAGTAATATCAGACTAAGTACAGAACTGGTGTATCAATCCAGGCATACAAGCAAGAATATAGCATGAAAGTTCATCTGTGTTGGTACAAATCATTATGAAATAAAGACTGAACTTTAACTTCCAACACTAGATATAGAATTGGGACTTACCCCACATTTTCGGTTGACTCCATCAACCTTGTTCACGGAATGCCATCTACTCTTGGAACGTGACGTCAGAGACACGTGACGTCCAAGAGTAGACAGGTCCATTCTGTGAACAAGGTTGATGAAGTCAACCGAAAAGTCTTTATTTCATAAGCAAGCATATACTTCCATTCTGAAGCTGTGGTCCCCTCTCCCGGTGCTGTCGGCTCTGTTTTCATTCTCTCTAGGGCTGGGCAGGTGAGACGAGCTACTA